ACCTGATTGCACCTCACAGGGACTCCAAACTAAAACCTAGCAGCTAGTATCAAGCGTGTGTGTGTGTGTGTGTGTGTGTGTGTGTGTGTGTGGATGGATCAGCGGGAGGCTTCTGTCTGCGGAGCTGCAGTGTGGGCATCAGGGACAGTGGGGTCCGCCTGGGAAGATCTGCCTGGAAGTGCGATCAGCACTGTCTTCTCCACCATGGATGTGTCCCTCTAGCCTTAAAGAAGAGCGTTGACTGGAGACATGAACAACTCAAGGGTCCTGAAGGAGGGAAACTAGTTTAACCTTTCAAGCAAGTGGCCTGAAGAACAGATCTTTTTTTACAGACAGTTTTACTGGTACATAAGCCAAATGTCATATAATTCAATAGTTCAATCATAACAAGAAATGTTGTATAATCATGACCACAATTTTAGAATATCTTCTTTTTCTGTGTCTTCCTTGCTATTAGCTCCCTATTTTCCCCCAGCCTCCCCTGCTATAACCTCAAGGAATCGTTAATCCAGTCACTGTCTCGATAGATTCCTCATTCCTGGATTTTCTATACCGAAAAATACATAAAAATACAAATCTTATGAAAAAGACTTTAAAAAAATGGTTTCTAAAGAAAGCAGCAGCACAGTTTTCATGACTTTGACTACTATCAGGCATTTTCACAGTTCCTATTACGCCTTCCTGGTCCTCTTAGCAGCTGCTTCGCATATTCTCCTGGGACTGAAAGCATTTGAGTGTAAAATTCCAATCTTATTATACAGTAGAGGGCATCGAACCATGGAGAGGTGTTGATGCAATTAGTGTCACAATCAGAGCCAGAATCAATGTAATAAAAGCGTGTTGTGACATATGCACAAATGTGATTGATGCCATTGATGTATGGATTCTTACAAGAGCTATAAAAGCCCTCAATAAAATGATTAAAAAAACATTGAAAAAAAGAAAATAAAGAACTTTTCTTAAAAAAATAGAAAGATTATTTTGAAAGGCTGGTGTGTGCGAGCCTCTTGGACATGTAAATATAAATGAGACCTGACTTTGGCCCCCAGGGAATGCTCAACCAAGTGGAGTGTGTCTTGCTTGTCTGAAATAAACCCAGTAGCTGAGTTTGCATTACACGGCCAGCCATTGCCGTCATCGACAGCAGGTTTCCAGTGTCTGGGGAATTAAGAGCTGCCATGACCGTGGGACTGAAGAACTGTTTGAATCATGGAGATATCACATTAATTCAAACAGGATGAGAAGCATGTATCTGGAAGGAAACGAAGCAAAGGATAGTTCATCTGGATGTGTGTGTGTGTGTGTGTGTGTGTGTGCGCGCTTGGTTGAGGAATACACGTGGATGTGCATTTTCATGCCAACGCTCGCATCCCCTGTATGAAGACATAATGGAATCGCTCTTATTGAGTGGAGGCATACCTCCACGGGGAAATCCCTTTTATTTCCTTAAGGAGAATGAACTCCTTCTTGTCAAAGAGGAGGAAGCTGCAGGCCAACCACCTTGCCTCCACCCCCATCCTGGGTCCTGCCGGCCACTGTTGCTACCTCAATGCCACTTTTCCTCATGCTCCAGAGTCAAGTCTTCCGACAAAGACCCTAAAGTTAGAGATCCAATTTCTAGAAAGCTCTCAGCAACAACTTGCAGGAATTACTTAGAGCAGTGTTTCTCAACCTTCCTATTGCCAGGCCCCTTTAATACAGTAATACAGTTCCTCATGTTATGGTGACCCCCCCCAACCATAGCATTATTTTAGTTACTACTTCATAACTGTAATTTTGCTACTGTTATGAATTGGGCACTCCCGTGCAAGGGTCATTTGACCCCCAAAGGGGTCTCAACCCACAGGTTGAGAACCGCTGTTTTAGAGGATTGGCAAAGCCAGGTTCCAGCTAAAGAGATGCTCCCCCCCACGTGAAGGGGCTGCCTACCTTGTCTATCACTTGTGGATGGAAACACGGTTTTGTTGATATGTGAATGCTCCCATCTTTCACAGATATGCCTCGGTCCCCAGCTCCCTAAACGATGATCCTGCCAGCTCAATCCAAGACCACAGGGAGAGAGAAGAGCGAGAGAAAGAAGAACAAACCAAAGAAAGCAAGTGAGATGCACCGTGGGAGACAGATGTATTTTGAGGAATTGGCTTCTGCGAATGTGGAGACTGGCAAGGCCCAAGCCTGTAGATCAGGTGACGGGCTGGAACCTCCAGCAGTCTTGTCTCTTTACAGTCCTGGAGCAGAAAGTTTCTTTTTCAGGACACCCCAGGTTTTGCTCTTAAGGCCCACTCCCATTCCAGAGCACTATCTGCTTAGCTTAAGGCCAACGGATTTGACTGCTGTACTTGTGCTGGTTGCCCTGGGTTGGTGGTGAGGCCCTGTAGTACAGACGGGAGCTGCCCCGTAGGGTTTCTTGGCTGTAATCTTTATGGAAACAGATCACCAGGCCTTACAGAGAGCCACTGGGTGGGTTCCAATCACCAATTTTGAGGTTAGCAAGCTTCTTGTGACACCGAAGAGCCCAGGTGACCTGGAGGCTTAGGCCTTGGCTGCTAACCTCCAGGTTGGTGGTTCAAACCCACCAGCCACTGTAGTATCAGAGAAAGACGAGTCT